GGCCGCACGAGGTTGGTTTGGGGGGGGGGGGGGGAAGTCAGACATTCAAAGATAGACTCAAGAATATTGCTTTTTATATCCAAACCCAGTTATTAGAACAGCTGTGCATGAAAAGACAAATTGGAATCGATTTCTTCCTTGGCAAAACAGAGTCTGAACTCACACTGTCTCTCCCCCTAGAAATGATTTAACGAGGCATTCAGGTTTCTGAAAGCTGGAGCCAGCTGGAGCCGGTGCCCACCTTTGCTTGTACTGTGAGAGCCACTGGGTTTAGTCGATGTAATATCAGCCAGAAGGCAAGTAATGCTCACAGCCAGTAGGGATGCCAAAGGAGACGGAAAGGAGGGGGAGAAACAGAGCAGAAGTAGCTAAACAATAGCTAGGGATGTACCAGGGATGAGGTGAACTTGCAAGACACAGCTTTTGGCAGGAGAGGTAGGATTAAGGCTGGAACGAAAGAGCAAGCTCACGGCTAAAAGGTTTTGGGTGACTTGAGAAATAGGTAGAAAGCTATTAGGGTAGGAAGGTGCAGTGGGATACAGACATGGGAGGATTTTGGTCTCTGGTTCAGTGAAACTCTCTCCCAGGCGCCCAGACACTACTAGCAGGAACCCCAGTGCAGGAGCAGGGACAAGAACACAAATTCCCAACCCTTGCACAAAACTGCCTCATTTTGGCTATCAGAAATACAGCATTCATAAGATTTGCTCTTGACCTTCCTTTCCCTGTATAAATGTATAAAAAAACTGGTGAACGCGCATAGGAATTGAGGAGCAGGCTCCCCGCTTGCCCCGGATTCCGCCTCTCTCACTGGAGAAGCAGGGTCTCTTCTCGGTTTCCGTTGCAGATCAGGCGTAGGACTCGGTACTGCTCCCTCAAGGTACGTGGCTTAGCCGAGCCAAGCGACCACGCTAGCACTAGGCAGAGAAAAGGTAGCGGCGATACCCTCCTCATACACTCCACCCCGTAACCATCGAGCCCTCTCACTCGCCCTCCCTCAGCCAGCCCAGCATCTCCCCTTTCACTCTGGCCTGCTCCACAGCCTGTTTGCCCTCCCGAGACATTGGCCTCTCACGGCAAACCCCCAACGGTCCCTTCGCACCCCAGTACCACAGTCCCCGAAGCCTGAGGAGCGCCACCACCTCTGTCCCTTGTCGCCCCTTCCCCGCCATCATCGCCCCTTTCCCCTCACGGGTATCTTGGGGAGCAAGCGGCCGGGGGGATGGTGCCGGGGCGTGAGGTGGGCTGCGCGGCAGTGGCCCTGGGGAGGAGATGGCCGCCCTGAGGTGCTCCCCGAAGGGCTGCCGCAGGGACTGGAGCCCTTCACCGCCACACTTCTCTCGGACGTGACTGAAATGAGACTTCCCACTTTGCTGTCAAACTACGTGTTTGTTCGTCTCCCTTTTTACCCTCTCCTTTTTTTTTTTTTTTTTTTTCCCCCCCTCCGGGTGCACTGTGGCTCCGGCTCATCCCATCTGACAAACCAGCAAAAAGGTTTCTTACCAACTCCCGCAGGACCAGAAAGCGCTTCGAGCCTCGGTGGTCCCTCACGTTCGCACCGCACCTGCTGACGGGCCCGCGGGGGGGCGGAACCCCGGAGGCGCGGAGGAGCACCTCAGCCTGGCGGCCCGGACCAGCCCCTGCGAACCGGGAGGGCCGCCGGCAGCGAGCGGGGGGAAGCGGAGGGGGGCGGGGGCAAGGCGCCTGCCGTAGCGGTGCTGCCGGGCGGAGCGGGGCTGCCTCGCCGTTTTCCTCGCCGGCTGCGTCAGAGGGCAGCAGCGCCCACTCCGCCGCCTAGTTTTCGTTTCCCGCTCGGGCAGCGCGGGAACAGAAAGTGAAACTCGGCCCCGCCGCGGCCCGCCGCCAGGGGCAGCCGCGCCGCCTCAGGCCTGCCCGGCACCTGGCGGCAGCGCGGCCCGGCCGGGTGGAAGAAGGGCGGCCGAGGGGCCGTACCCGCTTTGCCTCAGGGGCTGCCCGCTCGTCTCGGGGGGCCGCAGGCCCGGGATGAACTGCGCTGACACCCAGCTGGGGCAGCCGGTGCCTGCGGGGAGGCGGCGGCCCTGCTCCTCTGCCGCCTCCCTGCCCCGCTCTGCCGCCTCGGCCTGGTTCAGACCGGTTGCTTCTGGGCAGACCCAAGAGTGGGCTTTAAAGGGAGGGGTGAGAAATTGAACTCTGCAGGAAAACGCGCCTCTTCTGTGGCAGAGGCAGTATCTCGGGGGGTTCGTTCTGCCCGGGCTTCGCGTCGTTGCTCGTTATCTCTCAAAAGGAGACGTGTCTTCGGCCTGGCGTTTGTTGGGTTTAGCCACAAAAGCAACAGGAAAGCCGAACTCTTGTCAAGACCTACAGTAGCCTATCCAGAAGCAAGAAACAGCTCATTTAAAATAAGCCCAAATAAGCAAGTGGCTTAGAAACATAATCCATGCGGCAAATTGAAAGGGTTGGCAGTTTCCTGTCTGATGGTGGGCTGCAGCGTGCAGCAGAATATATGAGTGGCTGCACGCCAGTAAACGAATATTGCAGCACCAACCCAAACTGTGAGATTTCAGGCCCCAATGAGTCACCTCTGTCCCAACAAGCGGAAGTGCTTGGGTGGCCGCTTCTCCAGTGCATGTGTCGGGTTTCCAGGCTTTCCCCTTCATCTTGTTCCTGGGCACCTGCAGGAGGAACAGAGAGGCACAGCACCCCGTAAAGGAGCTTCGCTTCTCAGAGGATGGCTACTGGCCCAGCTTTGCTCCACTTGAGGAGGTGGGAGGGTTAAAGGTGAGTGATGCTGCTTCGCAGAGCTCTGCTGACTGGGGAAACGGTGTGGATGACGTAGGGAGTCCTGCTATGCATGTGAAATAGATTGAGTCTCTGGGTCCCCAGAAGGGAGTAGTCCGCTGTGTGATTTGGCAGCGCACACCTGCCTACCCTTTATGGAGGAACTCCACCTGGGTCAGAGACACCACGTCCTTTCCTTGCAGCTGCCGCCAGAGGGTCCCCAGGGACAAATTCAAACCCTAAACCCTTCCTCTCTTTGCCTGTAGGATTGGTTTAGCAGGACATGAGGGCTTAGTGAGGGGAAAGGCATTGCCCCCTTCCATGGTCTGTGCAGAGCTCCTGATGGCTTCCATCTCCCTTTCTTTGCTCCCTAGAAGCTCACTGATGTCTTTGGGGCACCCCTTTGCCCCTCAGAAAAGCCCATTCTATGAGCTGCTGACAAACTGCATTCGCATGTGCTGTGCAGAAGCCTTCAGCTGTTGTCTCACTAAGTTACTAAATTCAAGGAATGTTACAGAAAAAACAGGTGTGGGGAGGAAAACTACAGCTTAACATAGCCCTTGACTTGCAGGCTCCTTCCTGTATTATACAGGCATTTAGTGGTTACAGAAGGAATTTAGGAGTTGAATGTGGAAGTCCTTTATAATATTTCTGCAGCAAAGATGTTCTAGAACGCATTAAGTGACGTAAGTGTTCTTACCATTAACATACTGTTTGTTCCTGTTACACCTTGAACTACAGAGCCAGCCCTTTGGGGGAGCGGCTAGAAGACTTCATGTCTTCAAAACAGGGTGAATGCAATTCTGATGATGATAAGGGATGTGCACTGCCTCCCCTTTGTCACGTAACACAGATCACTTTGGGTGTGCCTTCTGGGGGAAGGGTTATGCTAACATGGATTTATTGTGGAGAGAGGCTAAACTGTCCACAGTTCTTCTGTTAGCACAGGTGAGGACAGCATGTGCTCCCAGCCCTGTGTCAGGTACCCCTGTGCATCCCTCACTCTGCTTCACTGAACCATGGGAAGGAGGCAGCACGTAGGAGGCTTTCAGAAGGGTTGTCTGAAGCCCATCAGAGCTGTCATTGTTTCAGTCCCCACAGAAGACATTCCAGTTGCATAGCCTCTGGGCAGGTTATGGAGAACCTGCCGATACAACCTGGCTCTGTTGGAGGCAGCACAGCTGCCTGGCGCTCAGAGCTCTTCAGCCAAGGCAGCAGTGGCAGTGAAAATCTTCCTGAATTGTCACATGGATGGGTATGAATATCTGCAGGGGCTTGTTATCAGAAGGGTGCAAATGACTCAGCATCTTTGCTGTGACTCTGGCAGAGCCTCTTGCCAATTGTTTAAATTTAGTGATGTTCCCTTTCTATTGCTAGCTTGTGTGGCATCTGCCTGATAGAAGGGAGGAAGAGAGAGAGAAAAACTGCTAAGCCATAAGTTGCCTAGAGGCAGTTAAACCACCTGAGCAAAGTGCAAACCGACACTGGAGATTAAACAGGAACTAGGTCTGTGGAAGCTAGTGAAGCATGTGCAGCTGAAGTGGTGTTTGGTAATGACACCTGTGAGAGCCTGGATGCTCCATTAAGAGGAGCATATGTCTTATTTAAGAATATTTTAAGCTTCACCTGTGGAAGTCAGTTGTGACACCCCACTTCCAAAACAGGTAACAGGCAGAAGTTTGAGCCCAGAAAGTGTGCTCGGATGAAGGGATGGCTAAAACTGAAAGATTCAGTGTTTAGGTCTCCAAATACACTGCCTGCTGGGCATTGTGGTGTAGTGTCACTTTGACAAGAGCTGCTAGCTCCTGATAAATGCCACAGCACTTCTAAAGTAATCTCCAAACCATCCCAAAGAGTGCATTGACTACTGTGAGAGCAGGGATCCTGATTCCTAAGTGTCCTTGCAAATGAAATAAACCATAACATTGATGATCAGGATGAGATTTAAAAAGCTTCCAGGAAGTTAGGAACACGACACCCAGTGTTTTAGAATGCATAAAGGTGCTGGGTTGGCTGGGATAGAGTTAATTTTCTTCACAGAAGCTAGTATGGGGCTATGTTTTGGATTTGTGCTGAAAACAGTGTTGATAACACAGGGATGTTTTCATTACTGCTGAGCAGTGCTTACACAGAGCCAAGGCGTTTTCTGCTCCTCACCCCACCCCACCAGCGAGGAGGCTGGGGGGGCACAAGGAGTTGGGAGGGGACACAGCTGGGACAGCTGACCCCAACTGACCCAAGGGATATTCCAGACCATAGGACATCATGCTCAGCATATAAAGCTGGGGGAAGAAGAAGGAAGGGGGGGATGTTCAGAGTGATGGCGTTTGTCTTCCCAAGTCACTGTTAGGCGTGATGGAGCCCTGCTTTGCTGGAGATGGCTGAACACCTGCCTGCCAATGGGAAGTGGGGAATGAATTCCTTGTTTTGCTTTGCTTGTGTGTGCAGCTTTTGCTTTACCTATTAAACCGTCTTTATCTCAGCCCATAAGTTTTCTTACTTAACCCTTCTGATTCTCTCCCCCATCCCACTGTGAAGGAGGTGAGTGAGGGGCTGTGTGGTGTTTAGTTGCCACCTGGGGTTAAACCATGACAAGATGTCTCTATATGACCCCTCCTAATTTTCTGTAATTACATACAAAAAAGGTGATCTAATGGCAGACACATGCAATACAGTGATACAGAGACAATTCTGTGCTTACTAAGAACAAAGTGTATTTTAAAATTACTCCCCATCATTTTCTTCTTCAAATGAGTCAGTTCCCACTTCTTCATAGTCTTTCTCCAGGGCAGCCAGGTCCTCTCGTGCCTCTGCAAATTCTCCCTCCTCCATGCCTTCGCCCACATACCAGTGCACAAAAGCTCTCTTGGCATACATCAGATCAAACTTGTGGTCAAGCCTTGCCCAAGCCTCTGCAATGGCTGTGGTGTTGCTCAGCATGCAGACCGCTCGCTGAACTTGGGCTAGGTCTCCACCAGGAACTACTGTAGGAGGCTGATAGTTGATGCCAACCTGGAAACAGGAATATGAGAGAAGGTTGTAAAAAGGCAAGAACAGAAAGCAGTCAGAGCTGAAAAAATGTGAGTAAAGTTACAGATGCTGGGGTAGAGTGGTGCCACTATAAGAACTACCAGATGGCAAATGCCATAAAAAATAATGTCATAAACAGTATGATACATGGTCATTTTAATGTCTATATTAGTCTTCTCTTTAATGTACACTGGCAACTTCGTAGATTTCTTAACAGCTATTGAACACTGAACATACACTTTCACCAAGATACTCTATAGAAACTAATACAGAAAGTTGCTTCCCAGTTAAAAGTTTTCACTCTTAAACCAGCTATTTGTATGACAAAAGTTTTTCCACTGCTAATGTCTGTATTATTGCTGATATGATGTTTCCCAACACTGCTATGTAGCCAGTGGGAAGAGGCTGTATAATACTTCTGTATGAGAGGGTTAACCGACAGATTCCCTAATATCAGCATTTCCTTTATTGCTTGTATCATTTTTGGTATTTCCTTAATTTTAGATGTTGCTTCAGAGGGAACACTCACTGGCTTTTCCAAAATTCAGGTCTGAAATGAATACCTCTTTAAATTTTAACTCATATACCCTTCAGATTTCCACTTACGTAAATATTTAGGAGCCTTTGTCAATGGGTTGTCCAAAGGAGAAAGGGCACATTTTATACAAACGCATCTGTCGTATGTTCCTTCTTCTCACAAGTGGAAAATATACAAGATCTAAAACACTAAATACAAGTTTTCTGCTAGACTGAACTTGCCCTTTAAAGAGAAGTTCATGGCAGCCATA